AGGCTCAGAATGTTTGAGGAATGTGAACTCCAACCAGTGATTTTAAGGATCATAGATTTCACTGCTCCAAATCCTCCCCCAGAACAAGCAGCAGGAAGTTCTGGCCATGGAAGCACAGAAGGTAAGGCTGAAAATCTTCTTTTAGGGTAACTTATTCCTTCTTCAGTGAATGGATGGATACCCTACCTGGCAACATCCATAATTCCTCATGGCCACAATAAGCTCAAGTGATAACACAGGATATTTTGGAAAGGTTCAACCCAAAGGCTGTTCCAGTCCCAATCCTTCCCACACCAGGCACAAGGATGGAGCTACAAATAGCAGCTTAACCCCCTGGAGCTGCAGGACAACACCTAACTGGGCCAATAATAAAGCCAAGGCCTCTACTGGAGCAGAGAACATGCTTTATTGGGAAGTAGATACAAGGAGAGCACATTCTACCACGTCATGGGGACAGGGAGTAGCTTCTGCAGGAGAATGGCCTGATTCCCTACTCCAGAGAGATCTACTTCCTTGGATATTTCATAGGTATCTGCAGTTAGTTACAATACAGGAGTGAAGGGCACGGACAGCAAACTCAGTAATGCCCACAAGGTCCACACCATGGACTGATGAGTTGGTTTGTGGTTTGTTTCTCCAGGAGAAAGGGAGACAGAGGAGCAGGAGAGAACTTTTCCACATCAGGATGGGGCAGTGGTTCACAGGGAATGGCTCCCACCTACCAGGACACTGAGTGCTTCATTCCAGCCCCCATTCCAGGAAGGGTTTCATGACATCAGCACTGGGATGTTCCCATCTTTCCCCCCACAGGGTTGTCCCCTCACACTGGAGCCATACAGGAAACTGGTGGCACAAGGACAGTGGTTAAACTGGGAAGCTGTTGGAGGATAGTTTCTTCCAGTGGTGCTGATGGGAGAGAGGAAGTCAAAGCTTTGTTTGTTCCACAAAGACAACCAGGGATGCACTGGCAGAGGCTAAACCCCTGGAGCATACCATGGGCAACCCAACAGCTGCTGCTGGTGGTTGGGGAGTTTCTGTGGCTGTTTGAACAAAGCCAGCAAAAATCCATCAAAAAGTTTGGATTTCTGCAGTATAGAGGGGAGAAAAAAAAATCCTCTCCAATACAAAGAGACAAAAAAAAAAAGTCAAGGAACTCTAGGAAAAATGGCTCCAGTGAAATATACTCAACAGGTTTCTCAGTAAAGAACTCACTAACTCCAAGAGATAAACCAGGGAAAAATAGGAATAACAATCCAAAAGGTCTCTCAGGCAGATGTGGGACTGTGGTAGCTCCAGGAGTGTGCACCAAGATCATCTCAGCCCAGGGAGTTCCCACCCCCTCAGCCCTGTGGGATCACACCACAATCCCAGCACTCAGGTGCAGGAGTTGTGACTGGACAGTATTGACTGCTGTATTCCCTGGAAAACTGCTGAGAAAGGGGATAGGTTATCCCACTAAAAACTACCTGGGACATGGAATGAACAAAACTACTTCAAACTGCTCAAGTCCTGGAACTGCAGCTGGTTGGAAAGCCAAACTTCCCACACACAAACACTCCCAGACCTTGTTCAGAAGCCACAGAAGTATCTCCAGCACTGAGAACTGAAGGAATCTGAAGGAACAACGGGACACAACACAACCTCATGGGAGCAGGAACATGAGGGTCAGACCAGTGACTGGACAGGTACAGTACCAGCAAGCAGAACTCCTTGGGCCAGCGCTGCTGGGAGCTTCCTTTGGGTCCAAAACAGATCCAATCCTTGCAGCCTCACTGAGGCCGAAACATCAAGTTCCTCAGAACTGTGGGATGCACAAAGATCCAGGCCATGCCAGCACCAAGGGCAGCTGAGCTTTGGGGAGGGCACTGTACCAGCCAACCACAACAGAATGGATACAACAGAGATCCCTAGGGTACTTCTACTGCTGGGGGGCACTGGCTGCAGGAGTCAGGGCACTTAGGTGCCCTTGGGAGGGGTCCACTTCAGGCAGCTGGGATCCATGATCTTGTTGCTGTTGGATCTTTTGGCCTCTTTGGCTATCCATTCATCAATCAGATCCTAAGGGCATGAGAGAGCAGGTTAAAACATGTGATCCAGATAGAGAATTATCCAGGGTACAACACCACAAATGTGAAGGTGACTCACCACTAAATGCTCAAAATAAAGACAAAGAACAACATCTCCTCCACAGAGATTTCTAGAAGGACTTCAGTCCCACTGAGAAGGCTCCAAAGTGATGTCCCAGGGAGGGCCAAACAGAGAAGCTCTTACATTTAGGGGTTTATAAATTACCAGTGAGGGAACAAACAAGACTCATTCCATTAATTCACTTCACTTGTGTGTCAGGGGAGAGTTAGGTTGGGTATCAGCACAAGGTTCTTCCCCCAGAGGTGTTTGGGCACTGGGACAGGGTTAGGTTGGAGATCAGGACAAGGTTCTTCCCCCAGAGGTGTTTGGGCACTGAACAGCTCCCCAGGGCAGTGGGCACAGCCCCAAGGCAGACAGAGCTCCAGGAGTGTTTGGATAACACTCTCAGGCACAGGGTGGGATTGCTGGGATGTCCTGTACAGGGCCAAGAGTTGGATCAATGATCCTTGTGAGTTCCAGCTCAGCATATTCCATGTCATCCACTTGCCCAGTGAAGGGCATGGTGAAGCCCATGATGGGAATGGTGATCCATTGCTCCCATAAAAAGCCACTTCTAATGAGCAATGTGACCAGGGCAAGTCAGCACAGCTGATTTTTGCTCTGCTGAAGCATCAGGTTTGATGCCCAGGTTATGTTTGATTTGGAAACCAGAGTTCTCCCCCACTGGACTGAAAAGGCTGAAAACTTAGTCCAGGAAATGGTGATTTCAGCACATTCAGATCTAACAGCTAAATGTAAGGAAAGAAAAAAGCCACCACAGATCTCACCTGTCTCTTCAGGACCAGGTGCTTTCCCTTCCAGTACTTGAGCATCTGAAGGGCCTGCAAGGTGCTCACGATGTCCACAGGGTTCACTGCTGTCTCCTGGCTGATCTCTGTTGGGTTAGAACACAAACAAATCCCTCTGCACCAGCTCCAAACTGCTGCTTTTCAACCACGACTTTCCTTCCCTTCCCTCTGAAGGGACAGACAGGAAATCCCTCCCAGGAGCTACAGGAGGTATTGCAGTGATTTAGTGACATCCACTGCAGGATCTGTGTTAATAAGGTACAATCCTCTGGAAGAAGATGAAGCCCTGCTTTGTCAGGATATCCCTATGGAATGTCACACACTCCCACAGGGAAATGCTATTAAAAGAAGCCCAAATATTCTTAATATTAGCTCCTGGAGCCATTTTTCTACTTAAAATGAACATTCTAATCTACAGATGGATAAAAAGCTCTTTGTTCCTTCTTTTTACAACTGTATTTTTTAAAGCATAAGTCAACAGACACCTCCAAAATGATGCCAAGTGCCTCATCTTTCCTGGTGCAGGAGTGGAAAAGAGCCATTCCCAGCTGCAGGAATGTTCCACTAACTGTTCTGCTCCACAAACACTGAGCTGCCTCATGGCTGGGGCAGGTCCATAGGCTGCTCAGATATATGTTCCTGAACCAAGTCACCACAGGTTTATTTAGCTTCAAAACACACCTTTGATTGAGATCTCTTTTCCTTGGAAGTTATGCAGGTATCTCAGGAGAACCTCCTTCCAGTAGCTTCTGTAGCTGATGAGACCCAAATCCGAGAGAGGACGTTCTGGAGAGCCAACTTTTTCCTCTACTTTAGACAGCAAATAGCCTGGAAAGGCAAAAAAACCCACTTATTTATCCTTCTTCATCTACTCAAAGAAAGGTGCAGCAATCAGCCTTAATGCAAACTGCTCAAGCACCACCAAGTGTGTGGATTTCCTGATGGAATTGGCATCTTGGACAGGTTTTTATGCCAGAATTTCCCTCTCTACTTACTGAAGTCAATGAGCATTTTGCCATAGCCTTGTCTCATGTACTGAGGCATTGTCAGGATGCAGGAAACATTGTAGTTGAGGAAGGAATTCTTCTCCTGCAAACAAGAGCAGAGAGGATGGGTGAGCAGGTCTAGATCTGTACAAACAATGGGACTAGCACAAGAGCCTGAACAAGTCTGTGCAACTGAAGCAAGGGGAAAGGAGCCACAGCAGAAAAACCTGCCTGGCAACAAGGAACAGGATCATCCCTCAGCCACCAGCATGGCTCAGGTGTCTGACTGCATCAACCATTCCACTGGAGGGTTGGGGCATGATTTTAGGCCCAGGATGACTAGCACTGGAGTTATGGAATCACAGAATCATGGAATGGCTTGGGTTGGACTTTTAGAGATCTAGTCCCAACCTAGTAGGAAGTTATGGTTTGGTGTTCCATGATGTTCACTAGCCCAGGCTGCTCCAAGCCTCATCCAGCCTGGCCTGGAACACTTCCAGGGATGGAGCAGCCCTGGGCAAGCTGAGAAGGAACCAGTGACACTCCCAACAACAGCACTAGAAGCACATGGTGGACACTGAAATGTTTAGAGGAGACTCAGCCATTGTTACCCTCAGACTTGTCTTTGGATCATTTCTTTAGCTCTTTATTCAGCTTTGACTCAGGTGCTTTAAGGAATAGTTCCCTGCAATTTCTTTGGGAGAGTATTCCCCTACCTAGAGAATTTCACTGACTAAACTCCTAAGAGCATTGCAAGACATCACCACGTCCACAAAACAATCACCTCTGCTGTGTGGAAGAACAAGCAGGAAATGGATCTGTGTTTGTTCTATCTCTGCTGCACATTAGTGGCTATTTTTCAGGCAGCAACTGGCTGAGTGGAGAAAAGTGGCTCCTACCCTCAGCTTGGCCTGTGACTGATGAAGGAAGAGAGTGCAGCAAAGCACCTGCAGCAAACAACACAATCCATGCAGCTCAGCTTTGACACTTGATCTCTTCCCAGAATCAACAAATCCTGAGGCTGCAAACCCCAGAGAGGAGATTCAGTGTTGCTAACTCATGTTCTAAAGCTCCTGGCAGTGAGGCAGCAATGCCTCTGTGTGTCCTTCCAACTCACCTTGGAGAAATACCCTATCAGGTGGCAGCCAGTGTTGTCAGCTTCTGTCATGACATAGAAGAGGAAAGGTTCAACATCATAATATAGTGTTTTGTGGTCCAGGAAAAGCTTTGCCAGCAGACACAGGTTTTGACAGTAGATCTAGAGGCAAAAGGAGAATGGGATACATTTATGACAGTGTAATATGCCAAGTGTGGACAAAAACATGTGGGAAATGACAAGTTCTGAATGGTCTGAGAAGAGCAGCTGGGCCAGGAAACAATTCCAGGTGGGATGGAATTAAGCCTAACTTGCCACTGGTGGGGATGGAGGTTTGGGCTGTCAACCTCAAAGCCCAACACACTCACTCAAGAGAAGGGGAGCACAGGTTGAGGCTCTGCATTGTATCAATCCCATGCTTCAAGGTCATCCTGCAACTGGCAAAGCCTCATTCCAACTTCCAGCAGTGAGGAATTAGCTTTTGGATTCATTCTTTCCTCTGAAGCCTTCAAGGCTGGACAGATGTAGGCAGGGCACAAATGTGGTTGGGGCTGAATCTGCAGTTTCTGATCCATGTTCTTACAGATGGAGCTTAGAGCTCATCCAGCCCCAACCCCTGAGCAGGTTACTCAAGGCTCATCCAACCTGGAATGAACATTGCCAGGGTTGGGGCAGCCACAGCCTCCCTGGGCAACCTGTGCCAATGTCTCTCCACCCTCACAGCAAAAACTTCTGCCTAAGACCTAACCTAAATTTCCCTCTTTCAATTTCTCCCCATTGCCCCTTGTCCTGTCCCTACAGCTCCTAACACAGATCCCTCTGCAGCTTCCCTGGAGCCCCTTCAGCTCCTGGAAAGTTGCTCTGAGGTCTCCACACAACCTTCTCTTCTCCAGGCTGAAAAGCCCCAACTCTCTCCTAGGGGAGATGCTCCAATCAACCTTGTGGCCTTCTCTGGCCTTGCTCCAACAGTTCCATGTCCACGTTGGGGCCACCAGAACTGGGCACAGTACTCCAAGTGAATTACCTTGTTCTTTTTCCCATCCACTTCAAAGACAGAGATGGAGCCTTTGCGGTAGATTTCATCCCCGGGTGGATGTTTCCAAACACATTTGGCCTAGGACAGGAAAACAAAACCAGGGTGACACTGCTGTTTGAAGGAGACAAAAGTAGTGTTTTAAAGAGAGAAAACTACTGTTTTAAGGACAGAAAAGTTCTAACAGCTGGTGGATTGAGCAAAAAACACACAGCCTTCTCACTCCCCTCACTGTGAGCAACTGAGCCACAAGAGAAATGGCTCTAACACATGTTCTGTCAGATTGGAGCCTGAGGAATCAGCTCTGCCCTGGCCCTTACCATGTGCCTGCGCAGGATGGTTTGGCTCTTCATGTACTTGAGGCAGAACTCACACATGTAGAGCCTCCCCAGGCGAGCGTATTCCTCGGGGTAGGGCGAGTGGTACCACGTGTCCAGCTCGTAGCGCCCGAACGCGATGGTCTTGATCATGTTGCTGCCCTCAGTGATCTGCCCCTGCAGCCTCAGCTTCTCCTGGGAGGGGGAAAGGAGCATTGTTGTGAAAATGGGTGTTAGAAGTAGGTAGATAGTGTTTAAGGGGTTGGGATGAAGCTTGGAGATAATCTAGTCCCAACCCCCTGCCCTGGGCAGGGACATCTCCCACCAGAGCAGGTTGTTCAAGGCTTTAGCCAACCTGGAATGAACATTGCCAGGGTTGGAGCAGCCACAGCCTCCCTGGGCAACCTGTGCCAGTGTCTCACCACTCTCACAGCTAAGAATTCCTTCCCAATATCCAATCTAAGTTTCCTCTTTTGGTTTCTCCCCATTGCTCCTTGTCCTGTCCCTGCAGCTCCTAACAGAGATCCCTCTGCAGCTTTCCCTGGAGCCCCTTCAGCTCCTGGAAGGTGCTCTGAGGTCTCCACACAACCTTCTCCTCTCCAGGCTGAGAAGAGGACACTGTTCATATTTCCCAAAAATGGGACATTGTTGATTTTTCTCAAGGAAATCATTTACTCCAGGTTTTCTAAACTCATCTTTCAGTGTGACCACGTGAATGTCTTGTGCTGAAAGCCAAACAAACTCCTTCCCACTTCATGCACCTCTCCTGATCTGTAGGGAGAGGACACAGCCTAATGCTCTGTCTCAGATATCCCAGATGGAATTAGCACTGGAAAGCATCATCAAAGGGTCTTTTGGTTCCTCTCTGGAGGTGGAAAGTGGCTTTGGGAAACTCCTCAGAAGCCTCAGCAACACAAGGTTTTGAAATCCTTAGCTATGCCAAGGTGGAATTTGTTCCCAGCACTCCTCAGCCATCCTTCCAGCAAGTGCAGCTGTTCATTCCTACACTGGGAACACCTCTGGAATGGCACTGCAGCATTCCTGACTGCAATGCTTAGCATCCCCTGGGGATGACTGACCCTTAAACCTCATCCTTGCTGTAACTGAGCCGACTTGGCTGGGCTGGAGCTGCTTTAAACACTCTGATTTTACCTGCACAAGTCCCACGAGCCCAGAAACATTCCCATTCCTCCCCAGGCCATTTGCTGGGAGGTGTTTTGTGAGTCTCACCAGGTCCTCAGACGCTCGTGCCTGTGCCCTCCGGAACAGCTCCAGGTCGTACTCACTGGTCAGGTTTTCCAGGAGAGGTTCCCTGGTATTGCCATAGGTTTGTCTGTGCTCCTGCAACAACCAAACAACAGGAATTTTATTGCCAAGCTGTTGGATGTTGCAGCTTTTACAGCTGCAGGAGGCCTGGGATAGCCAAACTCCTGCTCAGCGGTCTCATTCCAGCCCAGAGGGAATGAAAGGATTAAGTTATTGCTTTTACCATGTATTTTTCTTTCTGCTCCTTGCTCAGTCCTGAGTTTCTCTTCTTCCTGAGCTCAGCTACTTTCTCTTTGTATCTCAGCTGCCTCTCTGTTGGGGCCTGAAAGAAAACAGAGTTGGGATCCTTCATCCTCTCCAAACATTCCCTTCACCTCCCAAACCAAAGGATCTGTCCTGGCTCTCATTTCATGTGGTTTGATGCCTCTAAAGCAAATCCTCTGCCAATGACAGAGCACTGCAGGTACCACACAGGTATGGAAAACAGGAAATCTTTCTTCCTACCACAGCCTTGACCAAAGCACCTCAGTGCCACAAGACAGGGAATACTCCTCATGGAGAGCTTAATCACAGGAAGAGCTCAGAGCTGACTCATGGAGTCACCTTGACCCAAGTCCAACACTCAGGGACTGAAAAATGTAATTCCCCTGGTTTTATTCCTCTCTGTTTAGTCAGAGATAAATTGTAGTTTACAGTTCTGCAGGAATTCTCTTCTCCTGCACTTCAAAGCACATGGAAAAGCTCATCCTGAGAACATCCTATGTGATATTACAGCCCAACACCAGCTCTCTCCCAACTGCTCCAGGCTCAGTTAAGGGATACAAGGAATTACTGTCCTAACTGCTCCAGCCTCAGTTAAGGGATACAAGGAATTACTGAAACAAACTGCAGGTGCCAACTGGGAAGTGTCAGGACTGGCACAACAGAAGGGAGACTAGGTTAAAATGCTTGGAACAGAGGTTTTCCCACTTTTTCCCCCAGCAGATGCCTACCTGGTGCCTGGTGGCATGCCTGTTGTTGTCATCCTGCCTGTGGGCCAGCATCCTCTCCTCAATCTGCTTGTCCCTGCTCTGGGCTCTCACCTGGAAGCCAAAATTTACCTGTGAGAGCTGCAGCAATCTCCTGGTTTGACACACAAATGCTGCTGTCTCACAGCTAAAGACATCAGCTGACACGTGGCTAACTCTGTTTTCTGTTCACAAATGACACATCTTGGCAGTCTGTCCTTCTAAAAAAACAACCAGAAGCTAAAAGATTCACCTTGCACTCATCTGCTGAGAGGTTGTGGTAGAGAGGACAGCCTGAGATGGAGAAGTGTCGCTCGTGTTTTCCAGTCAGGTGTCCTGGAAAGGAACAGAGAAACAACCCAACTTGAAACAAATCATCAGGGAGAACCTTCAGAAGTCTCCTAGATGGGCAGATCCCTCACATGAGCTTCTCAAGGAGTTTGCTCAGGGCACTACAGTGGGATGGAGAAAATTTCAAAAAGGAAGGACAAGCTCCTTCACACTAACTCCATGCAAACAGTCAAGGTATGTTAGAGCCTGAAGTACTCTGGGTCTGAAATGTCCTTCCCTGACTGCAAAACTGCATTTTCCTCCTACCCCTGTGCTCATCCTACCTTATTCCTTACCCAAAGACTCTTAGAAAACACCTCCAGGAGGAATATACCTGCAGAGATGCTTCACATCCCCTCTCTAGAGCCACTGATATTCCTGATCCTAACTCACTGCATGTTTTTAGAATGTATAACTCAACTAAATGGGACTTGGAGTATCACAACAGGAATGTAAAGCCCCAAGAGATCAATGCTGGATCTGGAATTACCTAAGGAGTTACAGCCAGGAGTGGGACACTTCATGTTGAAATTGTAGCTCTCGTGGAAGCGTCGGCGCTTAGGGCGGTGAGACAGGTCACTCCCAGAATCCTTCATGGACATGTCCTTGGCAATGCTCTCATCGTGGGACACGTTTGGACTGGAGATGTCAATGTCAGACTCTGAGGAAGGAGCATTCCCAGTGGGGGTACGAGGTGGAGACTCATCGTGATCCGCTGTGTTTTTAGTGTCTAAACAAGGACCAAGAACATTAGCAAGAAAAACTTACAACACCACAGGTAAAAAGCAGCTGGGAGAGCTGGCACCAACCCATCTGGGCTCAGGATCATAGAATCCTAGAATTTAGGGTTGGAATGGAGCTTAGAGCTCATCCAGCCCCAACCCCTGAGCAGGTTGCTCAAGGCTCATCCAACCTGGAATGAACATTGCCAGGGTTGGGGCAGCCACAGCCTCCCTGGGCAACCTGTGCCAGTGTCTCACCATCCTCACAGGGAACAATTTCTCCCAAAAACCTAATCCAAAACTCCTCTTCTTCAGCTTAAGGTCATGGCAGGTGTGAGGGTAGACACTTCTTTCTTAACCAGAAGGAGTCTCTAAGTAAGCCAATAGAAGGGAAATAAGTGATATGTTATATAAAATGTTCTTTATTAACCAAACTAGATGCACACACTTCCCTGAAGAGAAGTCTCTGAGCAGAGGCACTTCCTTGGCTCCTTGGCCAAGCCACTGGGAACCAAAGGCTGTCCCCT